TCACAGCCCTTTGGGCTGCTGAAAGCTCTGCTGAAGCTGCTGCAGACCCAGGGCACAACACTTCACACTGGGAAGAGGTGCTGGTGGCAGGAGGATGTACACCATAAAAAACACAGAGGACCAAGATATTACTTCTTGGCCCCCTTAACCTAACTTGTTCAGTTGCATCCATTTTTTAGTGTAAGATTTCTAGAGGACAGACGCTGTCAGGAGCCCTTACCCACACAACACAAGTGAATCAGAACTTGAACTCCCAGGTAAACCATTACCGCCGCTGGTGGCTCGGACAATGGCAGTGCAAAAACCCTTAAGGTCATTCATAAGAAGCAGGGCATGCACACTCAGCCTCCCACTTTCTGCCTTCTTCTAAACCAAGAGCATTGCAGTGAAGATGAGTTACCAGCACAAAACCAGTGGGCAACTCTACCAGACTTGCCTGCATCCCAGCAAAAGTGAGATGGAGGAAATGCAGAGTTTGGGGAGGATTTTTAAGGAGCATGATTTTGTGCTTTCCCTGATTAGAAAGTGCATTAAAAAAAATCTTTTGGGGCTCACCGAAGAGAGAAGGAAAGAAGGTTCATAACTACATTTATGGGAATCTCAAATTTAAAAATACACCTAAGATGAATGAGTGGGAATAAAACCAGTTCTGGCAAGCTCTGCTCCTTAGGAATTCCCGTTTGCTGGGAAAGAGGCAAACTCTGTTATCAGGGACGTCAGTCTATTGAAGGGAGAGCAATTTCCCCCAATCAGAGTGTGAAGCATGACATACCCTACTCTTAAATCATTTATATTTTACTTTTTTATGATGCAGTCGTGAATAAGCTTTTTCTGCATTTGTAATTAGACGATAGAACAGATGGTCAGGGCTTAGTTCAGGGTGATAAATCCATTAAGATAACCTACAGAAAGCTGCTGCTACGGTGGTTGCTGCCAAATAACTGTTCATTCAATGCTTTGTTCAAGCTTTGGGTACTGGGTGGAAGATGAACCATCCCAGTTCTTCACTACCTTGAGGTACAAGGGGTAAGAAATCACACACAAGTTTGGGGAATATATTATTACTGTCTATGTGGCTCAAGAAACTTGGATGCTATGATATAGGGGATGCATGGAGCAATCCAGGGAAATAGCCTGGAGCTGTTGCTTCCCAACAGCTGCCCTGGTAGATACACTCACGCCATCCCAGAGTGCGTATCTACTTGTCAAAGTGGATGAAATTTAGCTGAACAGGTGGCCCAACTGCAGACTAGAGTTTTCTGTCAAGGAGTGATTGCAAAATATCCATTTCACTTTGAATTCATGTCTTCACTCATTTGGCAAGAAATTGCTCAAAGCATTTAGAATCCTAGAAGCTGGACAGGACCTGCGGAGGGCATTTGGTCTAATCCAACTCAAAGCATTTGTCACAGTGGACCAAACCTGTAGGTCCCTTCCAACTGGAACTATTCTATTCTATTCTATTCTGTTCTGTTCTATTCTAAATTCCATCCTTAGACTCCTACAGAAGGCTCCCACTTGAGCTAGTTCACAAATATGATCTATTTTTTTCTAAAAACAGGCGTCAGAATAATTAGGTATTCTACAGCTTATGATTAGCAAAAAGAGATATTAAACCATAAAGCAAACAAGGCAAGAAGTTGTGTGTTCACTATTTCTGATTATGCCTTTGACCTGAATCACATCACACTACTCCACAAATGAATCTCAGCAGAATCTGTGGGGCTGCTTCAGGGAGGTGCAGCTCTGTGTTCTGTGCCTCTGGAAACCAGCAATACCCTTTTCTGAGATGCTTTGGCACTTCTGCTACTAATAATTTTTGCCGAAATCCCTTTCCGTCATTGGAATTCAGCACCAGAGCATTACCACGTATCTTTGGATAGCGTTTCCATGTGGAAACAGTACCTCCGTATACCAGAAGCTCAAAGTTTCATCACATCTGAGTGGCTAGAAACTAGCTGTGGAGTTGTATCAAGTCTGTTAGAGGAGAGGGAATACTCTGCTGAGGAAGGATGTGGAGTTCCTGTGATCATCTCCTATAAAAGCAGTGAGGATTTCTGCAGGGAAAATGAAGCCCGCCACAGATACAACCTATCCACCAAAATGCTCATGCCGGTCCCCTTTTCTTCATTCTCCAGGGACCTGGGCACACAGCACCAGTACATTTGGTCCAAGCCAAATTCTTGTATGCTGAGGCCCATATGTTTCAATGGGAACATCCCATAGGAGAGGACATACATTAGGTATGACAAAATAAGCAGAGGGAAACTGATTGCATACAAATGCATATAAAACAAAAATACCACTATTTCAGTGTTTTCTTCTGTATGTAGTAATGTCAAGAGGCTTTATTAACAAAAGCTGCTTAAGCAAAGGCTTGAATTTGAACAGGGTTCATTTGATTTCTGCTCCTCACCGCTTCCTGGCTGACTGCTCAGTATCTGCCAGCGTAGGCATTATGTGATGCTCTGCTTGTCCCCAGAGCTGTCAGTCAAGGCAGAGCCTGGGCTGGGAAATGGTTAGAGCCCGAATAAATATTAGCAGGGTAGTCTGGACCGTGACCGCTTCCCTCCTACTCTCGCCTTCACCCGCCTACACACATGCTGCTGCTGCTGCTGCTGCCTCGGTGCAAAGCAACGCTACAGGAGGAGCTGAGGAGCTTCTCCCCCATCTACACCCATCTAATAAGACACTGTGCTTTTGAGGAGTGACCCTTCCCTGGATGCAGCTTGTGTATGTGCTGGAGTCAGGTGACATTAACAATAAACCTGCTGAATTACAATTCAGGGAGAATTTACTTACTTGGAAATTTACATAACGTAGCTAGGGGAGACTTAACTGCTTCCCCTTGTGCATAAGGGAGAAAAAAAGGAGGAAAATTAAGTAACAGCCTAATTGGCTTTTATAACAGTCTATGGGGAGAAATGGAAGCCGGTTCTCTGCCTAGCTACGAAGCTTGGTATGTGCTGTAACCATGGGAGGCAATATTACAGGCATGACAGGACAATGATTTGGTTTTTCAGCACTGAAGGTCTGAAAAATGAAATACCTCCAGCCGGGGGGGGTGTTTTCCACTTGAGGAAGATCTGTCATGCCGGTTTGGAGGACTGCAGGTCAGGCTTTTGTTGGAGGGAAAAATGGAGGATCTGATCTGTCGGTGCACCCCCTCAAATGTGGATCACGGCCGTTGGGATGAACAGGATTTGCCTCTTCCACCACCGCACTCATTTTAGTCAAGGAGCGGCTTGCAATAAACTGGATAACGGAGAGGATGACGAGGCTAGGGCTGGCAAGCCTAATGCCTTCTGCTCCCGCTGCGCCCCTGGGTGCATGGCCCTGGCACCCGCTCCCCTCCCCCAGCACCCGAGGAAGGTGGCACAGCAACAGACCTGTGTTGGTTCAGGTCCTACTGCCTCGAAACTGCTGCATTTTGGAATGGTACCAGCAACAGAGAGCTGCAAAGAAGATATTGATGGTTCATTTTTTTATTGAATTTTGTCTTTAAAAAAAGCACCAGTTACATCAATGTCAATTACATTAAAACATGCAAGTTTCAGGACTAATCACTTTCTTTCACCCTTCTTCATTTCCCAGATACTTCAGGGAGAACTCCATTGATTACCTGTCCTCCTCAGCAGCAGACACCGCCTGAGACCAAGGCCAGGAATGCCTCTCTTCCGTGGCTGAGCTGGAGACAGCAGCAGTGAGCCCCAGGAGCAACACCGTCGCCTGCCACTGCTTTCCAGCCCTAAGCCGTTTGCCAGAACTGGGGGAGTGTCAAATCGTGTGTCTCCTCTCCAAAGCCTCCCTAATGTGTCCCAAGTCCCTCCTAAACCACGGCTAAATGACTGATATAAGATGCCATAGGGGTAAGCTAGAAGGGGTTTGGAAAGATCTTTCTCTGATCTCCACTTCCCAAAATGGCTGAACTTGGAAAAACGTTGTCCTTCTGCCTACAGCATAGACGCTGTCGTCTCCTCCCTGCCCAGCAGCTCTGCTCTCTTACCAACCTGACTCATGGTCCTGAGGACTCACATCTCCAGGATTTTTATCGAGGTACTCTGGCTTCACTCCACCGTGTCTTATTATATAGGACAAAGCCATTAATCAACTGTGTGCCCCCCCTTCCCTGCCACCGCAGACAGCAAATGTGATCATCTACGAGCCTTGCAGCTATCTGTCTTTCAGTGCACGGCTTTGTGGATCTGAGCAGAGGATTTGATTACAGCCGTGGTACCGATCATACGCTGTGTTGGATGTCCTCAGCTGCCATTGAACTCATTGTCTTAGACATGAGGATGGTTCCATAAGGGTATGTATGCTCAGGACTGATCATACAACACTATTTTTTAGCTTTGGTTTTGAAATTAGGCTAGAAGAATTAGACTAAAAAGAAAGCAATTTTGCATTAAACACCAATATTAGCTTTGTTATCTGATGCAATCAAAGCAGTTCCTTCCACATCATTCAGTAATGATGAACTAATTCTGAATCAGAAATGGAGCTATTGGAAAAAAAGCAGACAACAGCATTAAGGCTTAACCTGGCAAACTGACTTGTGTTTAGGTCTACCTTTTAAGGACAGGAGGCCAAACTAAAATACGTGTCCTATTACAGGTATATTTATAGGCCGAGTCAAAGCAGCTGTGACTGCAAATCACACCGTGTAAACAAGTAGCCACTTAGATAGCACATCGCCTTCGCAATTACTCGATCAATACCTCTAAGAGCAATGCCTATAATATGCATTTAGGAGAGCAAGAGCACTTTTGCATGCAAATACCAGACTTGTTCTCCTTAACAACAACCTATAAGGGCTGCAAGCAAATGCTTTGAGAGGATTTTGTCATATTTACGGCTGCAGCGATCGTTCAATTTTTAAGCCTCTCAGTAAGAAGCTATCAAAACCTTTACCTGCAAGTGCTGCCTTGGTATTTAAGCAGGTACTTTACCAGTTGCTTTTATAAGGGGCAATTATTTAGGTTAAACATGGATTAGACATGCAACCTGGCAGGGTGGTACCGGGAGAGACGCTGGCCACGGTCGGCATCTCCCCCGGTCCCGCCCCACTAGTATGGCGGCTCATCTGCTCCAGAGGATGCTCGGGAACGTCCTCCTCCTCCTCTGCTCCCTGCCGAGGAGCTCTGGTGATGGCTTGGCCCCCGCTGCTGGCGGTGGCACAGGTACCCTCTGCCCAGAGTATGGGAAGTGGGGGGGAGGGCAGGAGCTGCCCTACAAGGGGAGGGCATGCCCATTCCCGATGTCCTCTAGCTGGTGGGAAAGGGCTAAGTCAGCCTGCTGTAGGTATTTCTCTTGAACTGGCAGGCTAAACTATAGTTTTTGTAGTTTAAACTGTAATTTTCAAATTCCATTTTTCCCCCCCAATATCACATCTGCATTGCAAGAGGTGAGTCCAGGCAAGTGTTCATCACTCAGGAGCTGATTTCTTTGCAAGGATCCTATGCTGATGGAAGATAAATGTGGAGGTAGTTCCCCACCTCAGACTTTTTGATTAGGAAGGAATGAAACTCTTTTACTCATTGTTTTTCAGCCAATCTATTATTAATTCTTTGCCAGTCCCATACCACCATAAATGTTCTGCATGGTGTGTACAGACTCATAGGAGGCATTGCTGGAGGTTTGCACCGTGATGGGTGACTTCTGCTCTCCTGTTGTGGGTCCCTCACTTAACTGTGGCCCCATTTCACTTGGGCTGTAGGTGTTGCTTTCTTTCAGCGCTCCTTCTTAGCACCGCTTTTCACTGAGGCCTGAGGAAGCTGATAGTCTTTAATAGCTCATAAATGAGCATTAGTTCTGGTTTCTGAGGGTTTCCAGGAGGCAAACTGCCAAACCTTTCCGTGATACCCAGGGATGAGGAAGGAGCACCAGCAGACCAGCAGTTATCCCAAGCCAGAACAGAGGTCTGTGCTGGGAGAGTGGGTGGTACCTTGGGTTGTAGGTGCCTGTTTCCATTCAGACCCTTCCCAAGGAGTGTGCTGGGGCTGCTCTCCGTATGTAGCACACAGAATGGGAAGCAGATGCAAAGTCCTGCACTCGCCCCTGCTCTTGTGTCCCTGAACTGCCTTCCTGTGCTCTGTCTGTATCCACAGAAACTTCAGGAGAACTGAGGTGATGATGGAAAGCATCAATAGAGTCTAAGTTAAAATGGTGTTAAAAATAATACGGATTATCTTTCTATATCTAATTGAAGACACGGGCCTTGTGACTAAACAAGCTGAAGCAACTGTTGCTACAGACTGGAAAAAAAAATTTGACTCCAGAGCAATTCTATGTTAAAGAGAAAAAGGAACTGAACCAGTAAGCAAAAGCACTAATGCTGGCCAAGGTCAAGCCACCTCCTCTGCCTGCTGGGCAGAAAAAAACCTGCTTTGGAGAGCTGTCACCACTCAGTTGCTTCACAGGTTTTCCCCTGCCTTCCTCTGGATGAAAGTTAGACTCAACATACTGAACTGGGTAGATTTTGTTCTGACCCAGACTGGTTTGCAGATGAAAAAACATTCTGCATTCTTTTCATACTTTCATTTTTTTCTGGGATACTTTACCGCCAGCTCAGCCGTCTGTGTGGCAGTAGTGGAGGCCCCTCCAGAGGGGAGGAAGATCATACTTTTGTCCTGTAGTCTCTTTTTTTCGCCATATGTACATTAGCCATGGAAGTCTTATACATGGCACTCCATTCAGGAGCCGGATTATCCCTCGTGTGCCAGATCACCCACTCGCCTTGCCCCTGCGCTTTGCTTCCTTCTGTGATGAAGGGCACGTAGCGTTGTGGGTGGAGTGCCGGCATCCGTAGCCCGGAGCCAGGGCTTCTGCACGTGTGGAGGAGCATGTAGGGTGCGATTAAATCATGTGAACTGTGCCCAAATCCTTATCTGTAAAATAAGGATCCCAATTCCAGACCATGCAGGGAGGAGGAGAGTCCCTTTGTAGAGCCACTTTGAAGTTGTGGCACTCCATAGCAGAGCCCTGGTCTTTGGGATCCTGCACATTTCATAAGTTCCTCGGAGGTCACGACTCCAGCCCTGGTACCTGGGTGATTTATGCATCTGACTGGTCTCGAAGTTTCTGGGGGCAGGGGGTAGTCTTCACTATTAATCCAAAGGCATCCTCCCCTTCATTTCTTTAGGCTGCTAATGTTTGTTCTTCAAAGCCCCCCTGCGAAGCCTTCTTTTTATGTTTTTTTCTCCTGTTTTGAATCTGATTCCTACATGCTTGTACCAGATGGTGAGCTTTTAAAGACCTGCATTATTAACTTCTCTTTTTTTCTTCCTTTTTAAAAAGCTATTTAGTGAGATCTGTCTGAATAACACAGAATCGGGAATATACTACTGTGTGTGCTGCAATGCCCCACTGTTCAGGTAACATCCTTTAGATTTCACAGCATCCTTAAAATGACCTAACTGTGGCAGGAGGGGCAGTGTCTTTTCACGAGAGGAATGGAAAAGTGTAGGTCAGAAGAACAATCCTTTGGTGCCAGAGTGCAACGTATGCGATTTCCAGGATACCTGTGGTGATACAGGTACATGGTATGCCCTTTTCTTGGGCTTATGAAGGTCTCCAGTGGCCAGCAGACGGTAGTTGCTACATACAGTCTGCCTTTCTCTCCTGCCACACACACTGTCCTTTTTGGTTGATAATAATTCTCTGTTTAAGAGGTCCCTAAGCCACAAGCTGCCACAAAATACGTGTATTTATGCATGAGTATCACCGTATGTTTGCTCTATTCTTGTGCTCTTCCATAGTCACCTTCTGCCACTCATGCTACTGGGCTAGAGAGACCTCTGCTCTGCCTTAGTCTACCTGTTGTTGTGTTCTTACTGCTGGGTCCCTCATACTGGAGCTAAGACCTCCTCTTCACCGCCACCCCCTTCTCGTTCCCTAAATTAAATTCCATTTTTTTTGCCTTTTTCGTTACATCTACTTTTTAAAACCTGACTGCAAATGACTGCGCTATTAACCTCTGTGCTCTTTACAATACTATGTATTTTGCAACTTCATTAAACTCTAAGTAAAAGGAAATAGATTCCCTTGGAGTAGGATGTGCAGAGGGTGTTCTGTTCTGTGTAACTGAACCAGAAAAGACAGTTCCTCATATTTTTGATCTAGAAAATAGCCTTTATTTATTCCCAACTGAGAGTTCAATGGAGTACAGCTGATATGCCCATTTTTATGAAGACTTTAAAGGATGGATCACAGATCAGAACTTCAAATGGGAAGCTAAGGAACAAGAGATCTGGATGGTAAGAAAGGGGGGGAAATGTAATGGCTGTATTAAAAATAAAACTAAACTAAGCAATTAAATGGTAAAATTGGAGGCTGATAATTGTGAACAGTTAGTTTTCCTTTGGCCAAGTAGAGAAAACCATTGTTATGCAAATGAACATTTGCTTAAATGTATCTTTTTTCTGTAGAGGTTTGCTAATAAACACTTTTAAATAAATTTATTTCAGAAGCTAGTGCAGCATTGCAGAATATTCTCAAGACAAATACATAACCTAAAAGTACCTCTGGAAAATTCAGATAAATTAGATAAATTTTAAATTACTAAGCTGTGGAAAAGTTTCTTCAGCGTCTTCAAATATTCCTTCAGTTTAGGCATCCCTTATATTAGAAAATAGATACTGACAGGCCAACATGAAGAGAGATGAGCACTGGAGGGAATTGTGTCTGCTGCTAAACTAATAACAAAACAACAATATGACCAAACAGTCAGGCTGCTTTTGCAGTATCCAGCTCTCAGAGAATATAGGTATCTTTGTTTAAAGCATAAAATAAAGCTGAGCCTTACAGACTGATACAGGAAAATAAAATAAAACCCCAAACTTAGAGAAAAAACCTTTTAAGAAAATTGAAAATTATTAAATGTGCAAAATGGGCTCAAAATGTATTTTCCATGAATGCATTATGTTTGGAGGACACTCACAATGAGGGGGAAAAAAGGTATTTGATAAGAAATTGATTCATCATGCTTATTTCCTAGTGCATTAAAAATGTTCTCTCTTTTTCAAATGCATTAGATCATTAGCTACAGGTAAACATGAAGCATTTGAAGCATTTCCTCCTTTCTTTCAAAGTATATGTGTGTGTGTGTACATTTATACCAGAATTTATTACCTTCTGCTACCAAATATTTATTTGAAAGAGTTGGAAATACACGGAACAAACCCCTAACCTTTATAGATAGCAAATTGTGGTGCTTTAATGAAATCTCAAACCTTCAGCGAACCATAAACCTACAGCTGAGATTCATACAGCAAAAAGCACTTTTTAGAATTATCTGGATTCCATCCAGGATGACTGAAATAGGGATCAAAGTAAATGACATGTGCTGGAGGAATGGTGTGTCGAAGGCTAATCTAATGCATATGTTTAGGGAAAGTCCATTTATCCATAAATTAAGTGGTGAAATACTTCAAAGGACAAATATGATCTTGAACAGCAATATTTTTGGGTACTAAAATGTTTCTATTAGGGAATCTAAGTGATATTATTGTTAGTAAAACCACACAGAGACCATTTCTGTTGAGAGCTAGTTTAACAGCTCAAAAGATTGATCCTTTAGCAGTGGAAAACATCTACAATAAACTGAAGTATTGTGAGCGGCATGTAAAGGATGGAGTCAGGCAGGGTCAGATGCAAAACCCACATAGCATTAAAGACCTTCCTTGACTCCACAGGGTTCCAGAGAGGATCCTCATATCTATATATGAATAAGCAGAAGGATCCCTGTGTCAAAAAATGAAGACTTCTGACTGAAATCTTTTGAAAATAAAAAAGAAACAGCACAGGTATATGTCAGGGAAACCCAGAAGTCATGTGTGGACATTTGTATTCCCCCAGGTTCTTCTTTGGGACTCTGTGGCTGATAGGCACAGTGTTTGTGCAGTTTTGTAGCAAGGAAGGCAGGAAGCCCTCTTTGGCTGGAAAGAAATAGGCCTGGAGCCCTAAATACCTTCTCATACAAACGCAGAGTCTACAAACTGCATTTGCTTCAGTCAGCCTGCTGTGCTGTGTCTTATTTCTCCCCAGTTTTATGGAGGGAAGGAGGTAGGAGGGCATTTCTGATGGGTCTTTGTGGATTGCTGGAAAGGACTGAGCAACAGCCCCCACAAAAACTAGCCTTTGGTCATTCTGTGTTTGCAAATCCTCTTTTATTTCCACAGTTGCAATGCTCAAAGACAGCCCTGTAGAGTTAATTACAAAATGCATGCTGAAGCATGCACTGTTCTTCTTTGGGTTGGATCTTTTAAGATTTTTGCCCAGCTTGTTTGCCTTGCATTGTCTTTCTAAAAGGCACTGCAAGTAAGATTTTCAGATTTTTCTCCACTGTATTAATATCCCACCAAAATACACATGATATATACTAGATATCTTGCTTTAAATTCTGTATTGACTAATGGACTAATCCCCTTGATCACAGAAAAGCTGCTGGTGTTGGTGTCTCCATCCACCACTAGATGCCAGTAAGAGCATTTGGTTTGTGAAACTGGGATAAAACACGGGAAATCGGGAGGAAACGGTTGCGGTGGGTCTCCAGACCACTTACCCTAGTAGTATGAGAGTGTGTCTTCATTTCTCGCTCAAACTCACACTAGGTCGGTCACTCTTCACTAGGAGAAAGTACTTACTGCTATCAAAGCTTGCACAACTTTAAATAGGAGGGATTATTTCACTTCTGTATGCTAAACCCCCAAAATATCTTCTGATCATATTTTCCAATACGATCTAGGTTTTAATATACAACTAAACAGGGTTGGTAATTCTGGATGTTAACAGGAGGCACCCACAAGCTGACTGTGTAGTACTGTTTCTGATTGCTGCAATTATCCCTTGCGAAAAGTAGATATTTGTGCTATGAGGATTTGTCATTGGTTGATTGATGATTTGAGCAAGGCTCTATTTGATTTTCCAAACCGGTTTGGTGGCTGACTGCAAGGCAAAGCCATCATTGGATGTGACCCTGGTCTGGTGAGCCAACCCAGCCATTTTTCATACTTCGTTTCTTCCTGTAAACTCTCTTCTCTGAGGTTGTGCTATATTGGGCCAGGCTTCGAACTGCAACTTTGCAGGTGTAATTCAGCTAAACAATGTGCTCAGTTGTTGGAAAAAACTATTTGCAAGCTTTATGAAAAGCCAACCCGTCAGTGAAGCAGAAACGGTGAGGCAAAAGCTCCTGTTGTGTGCTAATCAAGAATTCCCTTTGGAAAAGAGCTTCCAGCACAGTTTGATGCCAGTGAGAAAACTTCTACTGTGCCAAACATTATTAATAGTAGTACAAGACAGGGATGAGGAAAAAAGCCAATGTTCTTATTAAAAACAGACTTTTTTGTAACATCTCTGTTATTAATTAACAAGAAAATCTGGTTTTCACTATAGCTCAGAAAAGAAGTACAATTCTGGGACTGGATGGCCGTCATTTTCTGAGGCTTATGGTACTCGTGGCAGAGATGAAAGTAATACCAATATCATGAGACGACCAGATAACTCATCGGGATCAATTAGAACTGAAGTCATCTGCAAACAGGTATATTTATTTTGGAGGTGGTACCCAAAGACCCAAATCTTAACAAATAAGTTTTCCTTGTGCCCATGAATGAATCTACCTAAACACAGCAGTGAGAATTACAGTATCACTGGAACCATTCTGTCTCACTTTTTGGTATGAAACACATGAGTAGAGTTCGAAGTATCAAATATAGGCAGTCGGTTTGGGGTGAAGAAAATGATGTGACTGGGGAGAGTAATTGTGTAAGTATAGCCAGGGGCTGGAGTTTAGACAGAAGATTTATTCAGAAGACCTCAGGTGAACTGCTGGATGTGGCAACAGACAGTAGAAGGGACTCTGAGATTTAGTCCGTGCATTTGCCCCATCACAGGGGCAGTTCTTCTTAATTCAGTCCTGCTAAATGTTTACTGAAGCTGTTCTTAAAATATGTGGTTTTAGAGACTCCATGGCCTTACTAGGTAATGGGTTGTAACCTTCATGTCTTCCTACTGTTGGTTAGACGCTGGGGAAAACACCAGGTTTGCTTTGCAGCAGTTAAAGCTTATTACTAACTTTCCCTGCACAGCAGTGGTGGTGCCCCGCATATTCACAGCTATCTTCCGTGGGTTCTCTTATTTCACGGAAGCCACCCTTCTATTTTTGGGTAGATATTCTGACTCCCTCAGTCAATCTCTTTTCTAGACTAGAAGGGCCCAGTTCCTTCAACTGTTCCTTTTTATGCGGTGGTTTTTAAAGCGCTGATCATCTTGTTGCTCTATTTTGCACTCCTTCCAATTGATCCTTTTCCTTCTTGAAGTACAGTGCAAAGCTGGACATAGCGCTGCAGGTGGGCCTAGCCTGCGTCAGAGATTAGAGGCTGTTTAGGTGCATTATAGATAGCGTTCCTGTCCTTGCACATCTACCCTTCCACAGCCTATGACCCATACTTGTTTTGGGACCTGCTGTAATACCCAGGTCCTTTTCTAAAGAACTGCCACCCCTAACCAGTTCTTCCCAGCCCAACATCTGTGCTGTTTATTACATTTGTTAAGATATAAAAGTATGCAATTGAGCTTAATGAATTGCATCTTGGGCTCTTCTTTTGTGTGTGTGTGTGTGTCTGTCTGTCTGTCTGTCTGTTTTTCCAAACTGTTAAGATTGCTAATACTGTCCTCCAGTGTGCTTGCAGCCCCTTCTAGCAGAATTAGGTATTATCTGCAAACGTAACAAGCATTTGCTGCAGTCCATTATCATGGTAGAGTTCATGTTTGCAGTAATATCCAGCAATCACTTTTCAACAACGCCAGCTGAAGACAACCTTCCAATTTTATAATGAGCCATTGATAGCTATTCTGAGTCTAATTTTTTCCCACCAATAATTTTGGGGGTGAAATCCTCAGTTGACCTGTGAGAAAGACCTATAGTGACTGTCTCAATTAACCTGAAATTTTCATTATATATTGAGATGTCTAGATCCCATTTATTTCCTATAGTTTCTGGCATTAGTACCTTTTGACTCCCTCTTCTGGGATCTGCTTGTTTGGGGGCAGATATTCGCCCACTGGCCAGGGGTGATTACTGCAGGATGTATTTCTAGTCTCTTCCCAAGACTTCCCCACCCACCCAACTCAACAGTGAATTCATCATACAAGTTTCTTAATTCAGGATAGCACGGTAGGTACCAGCATGATGTTGGTCCATAATTGCAGTGGTAATAATGGTACATAATTTCTGTTGCAGTGTGACGCCCATCTAGGCCATGTGTTTGATGATGGTCCACACCTTCTGGGCAGAGGTTCTGTATCAACAGCGTTTCATTAAACTTCAAACGAGGCTCTGGTCAGTGAGACGTGGATCTCCGTGGCTTACAGAACATCCTTTCACTGCTTATACAACAGCCTTGTGAAAAACTCTCGTGCTTTTAATATAGAACTCAAATTTTAGTACTTACACCATTGCAGCTTTGCTTTCCAGCTGTTATCAGTGTTGATAAAATACATATTTTTGTGGTAACTCTTTGGCAGTCTGCCTTTTCATGGTTAGTGTGATGTAAGTGTTGATCTGTTTATTGTATTTTTTTAATTTAAAAAAAATGTATGCAATAGTACACATTCATAACTATCATCATTAACTGTATTGAAGCTGCTGAAATGAAGTGCTCTTCTGCACCTGACTTTGCCTATGGTGAACAGTAGTTGTGGCACCCAGGAATACAGAGGTACAGGGCTGATCATGCCGGAGCTTTAACTTCTGTAAAATCATCATAGCTTTCTAAGGGGAAGCAAAAATAACATGAATCTCCAAATAAGGTTTGAGGGTTGGTTTTTTTCCCCTGATGCGAGAGACCTTTAGCCAAGCCAAGTGACTTTTCCGTGAACCCATAAAAGCAAAGTGCTGAAGGAAGGCCTAATTAAAACTATTTCAGGCAACGGAACCAGTGGAGACTTGGAGTCTTCTTTCTTTTAAATCAATTACTTTGATTCTGTGTCCAATAGCAGACCTGAAGAAGGGTTTGCTCCAGGAACTTCCTCTTACAGAAATAATATGATAATAATGTAGCGATCTGTGTAATATCTCCAGACCTGTTATCACTTGTGGATTTCAGAATCTGAAAATAAAAATGAGTGTGAAATTTAATGTATTTGGGGGAAAAAAATCAGCATCAAAAAACATGTTCAGTAAAGTGATGCTTTTGTTGAAAACATGCCTTGTCTGTTCTTCCTTGTACAAGTTTGTAAATACTTCTGTATTCTCCCAAGCATTGTCACTACGGTTTGCTGTAACAGAAAAATAAATCGTATGTTTGTGAAACTGAGCTTTCCTGATTTCAGATTTTTTTCCAGATAAAATAATCTCTGAGTCAGAACATCAGCTTCACTAAACTGGCTGATTTTAAATGCCTCCCTGCTGAGAGTTACTAGGCAACATCTCATTTGGCTTTACCTATAACAGGCTGTTTCCATTCTGCCTGCTTTGGTTGCCTCAGTAATAAAAAGGGTGTGTTCATTCACTAGCGTAGTCTTAGAACTGTTTAATGTCTTCAGAAAATGGACCTCTATTGCACTGAATTTACTTTTGCTCCTTCTGTCTTGGAGCTCTGCAGTTTTTCATCCTTCTGTACTTCCTACAGGAGAACTCTACAATCTCCTAACTTTTAAAAACATCATACGAAGACAGCGATCACTACAGCCAACCTAAACCAGAATGGCACAAAGGCTACCAGAGATGTGAAGCACCGTGAATGAAGCAGACGCTGCTGCTGGTTTTATGTAGTGTCATAGATGGTGATGGTCACATTGTCATCAGAGGTGTCTGTTAACAGCACCAGCATGCTGCTTGTCGTGTCTGTGCTGCATCATGCTGTGCCACGCAGAGATGCCCTTGCATCACCTATTGCTATTGCCTGCCTGCTCTGACCAGGATGTACATGCCCAGCCTGCTCAGGTCTCTGCTCCCAAGAGTCTTCACAGGTTGTACAGAAATCACCATCCTCCCATGCTCTGAATTCATTACCTCCCTATCCTGATATACTTTCATTCACTGGTGGGGTGTTTTTTTCCTTAAAATCTATCTCATAGCTACTGGAAAGGGGGTTTGGCCCTTACAGGCATTCTTTAGTCAGGCAGCCCTCTGCCCTCTCCTCACCTTTCCCATCAGGAGAGGGTTGTCTCAGAAAGGAGCATGACTAGAAGGTGTCCCCAGCTGGACTCCTGTATTCAGCCAGGTGCTGGTGGAGAAGCCAGCACCTGCCTCAGTACAGTGACTTTTGGCTGGGATACAAAATTGAAATGCTCCTTGTTTCTGCACATGGCAGAAAGTAGGAGGACAGCTAGAAAAATACCTGTTTCTTGCCTGTCCCCACACATAGCACATCTCACTGACACCTTCTATGGATGAGACTGAATGCCGTACAAACAAAACATACCATGGAGCTGAAAAAACAAGTATCCATACACAGACTTGTGTGCAAACCACACTCAGTTTAGCACCTTGGATGTACATGGTTGGAGACCAACTCTCAGTGAACTGGCAAGTTAGTAACTGTTACTGACAGAGGAAGCTTGCCTGAGCAGAGGGTGCATTTATTTTACACCTATGAACATCATTGTATGCAACTGGACGTTTGGGCTGAGCAGCAGCTGGTGCTTCCTCACTCATACAGCAGGATGACCTATGGAAAGAGACCTGTAAATCCCTAGTTTAGCAAGTGTAAATTACAGATACGTAATCATATGAACAGACCCGTATCTTCAAGGACAGTACCTGACCTGCACTACACTGATGTGTCACCAAACAAACCACATAAAGCACAACTCTACTGCCCCAGAGAAACCAGACACTGAGCTAAGCAACCCTGTTCTGCTTATTCAAATTAAAATGGGGAAAAGAGGAAGGTTTGGCTCTCACTACGTGTGTAAAATCAGAGTAATGGCACATCACCTTTCAATGTGGCTGTGTAACCCACAGTTTGGAGTAGCTATACTGAGAGGACTTTGAATATCCTGCCCCTTAAACTTCACTGTAAATCTAAAAGTGGTTAGATATCTGTATGTACCCAATGTCTATGTATCAGTAGGGGAACAGGGGAAATATTTTTGCTTTGCAAGCATGGCCAGTAGTCAATCTGGAATAAAACCCAAAATCAACAGAAGCCCTCTTATCAGTCCCAGCTCTCCCCATTGCTGGCAGTTTGCACCTCTTCTATTAAAACACAGCCATGCAAATGAATGATGCAGGACTGAGCAGAGGAAAAGGGAAGGGAGTACGTAAGGGAGGAATGAGTGGAGGAAATGGGTATGAACTTCTTGGATTAGCTCTTCTGATGCTTTTTTTGGCAATGTCTGACTCTTGCATTCTGTGCTGTATCAGATAGTGGCTGCAATCTTGAGTAGTAGGGTGGAGATAAGGCAGAGATTTTTTAACTGATCCATCTTTTTATTACTTTATCACTTGTGAAAAATTATATGGATCAGATGGGTTACTCCTCAGTAGTCCTTTATGAAATGGCATATTTGACAGCCTTGTTTTCTATTGTTTGTCCTACAGTGCAAGATGGGGGAGAAGGGCCATGTTCATTTGGGTACAAGTTAATTATCTCTTGAGCTGAGCATTACTATTGTTAGTTAACAATTAATTTTGAGGATGTGCCAAGATCCGCCTGTATAAAACTGCAAGCTGTCTGTGTCTTTGGTTTTACCATTCCCTCTGCTGGCTTTTTATTCTCTACAGAGGAGAGAGAGAGAGAGGGAGAGAGAGAGAGACCTTATCGCTCTCTACAACCTCCTGAAAGGAGGTACTGGTGGGTACTGGTCTCTTCTATCAAGTAACTAGTGATAGGATGAGAGGAAATGGCCCCTAGTTGCACCAGGGGATGTTTAGATTGGATATTAGGAAAAAATTATTTACCGAAAGGGTTGTCAGGAATTGGAACAGGCTGCCCAGGGAAGTAAGTGGTGGTGTCACCATCCCTGGAGGTGTTCGAAAAATGCATAGACGAGGCACTTCAGGACATGGTTTAGTGGGCATTGTAGTGTTGGGTTGACAGTTGGACTCGATGATCTTAAAGGTCTTTTCCAACCTAAATGATTCTATGATTGTATATCAGCTCAAACTTTTCATTTTTAAGATCTATCACAGCTTGGTCCCACCTTGTGTTTTGCCTCAGACATACTGATGGTACTGGCCTGTGCTCTGACGGTAGTGTCTGCCTTTGAAAATTTAAGGTCAAGTTTTCTTCAAATACATTTGTGCTTTATCTTGGGCTGCCAAAACCAAAGAGGAGATCCATCTGAGACTCTGCAAGGCCACTTAGTCACCCTGCCTCTTCCTGGTCTCCTCTCTGAAATTCACATCTCTCAGTATGCACATAGAGCACATCTAAGCAACTGGTATACTCCAACAGTTACAGCAGCCATAATGATGCCACTGTTACCTTGTGCTTTGTGCATCTACCAGGGGAATCCACGTGACATTTCTCATCATGTGTTTGAGCTTATCTCTCATGATGATGCCTTTACATGAACTAATTTTAGGTCTATCAACAGAGCTGTTGACATTTATGGTCTCATCCCCATGTGATGTAAACTGCTGGACATTCAGGACCTCTGACCGTAAGCTCTTTGAGGCAGGGAACTTCATTATCATCTGTGTCTGTGGTATCAGCCACACCAGGACAGATCCTAGCTAAAAGCCCAAAGTGTTACGAGATCATGAATAATAAAGACCGATAATAATGGAAGACACTATTAAAGAGTATCATAGGCTACAAGAACTTCCTTGTGTATCTGCACGGACTTTGTTCCACCAGAGTGAATAAAGAGCATTTGCTTCTCTGAGCTGAATATAGTCTGCCAGGCAACTGCAGATTTATGTTCCATCCTTCACATCTGAGAAGTTTTTCAACATTGTTATTTCATAAATTAGTTTCAATGATGATACTTTTTACCCCATTGTAGTTTTAAATAACTTTTTTATAAATTTTTATAAATCCTAACTGAGGTTTCTACATCAAAATCTTAAGAGATTTTAACATCTTAAATAAACTATTTAAAGACTTTCTTAGTCTTTGCAGCATTTCTACAAGGGAAGTAATTATTCTCAATTTTACTGAGGGAAGACTTGACAAGAAGAATTTAACTGACTTGCTCAAGACTACAAATCAAATTTGCAGCCAAGGCAGAATTAGATTCTGCATGGCTCCTAACAGCGTCCAGTTCTTCAGACCCTGCTTTTCCTAAAACTTGTGTTGGTACTTGATTGCTTGGAGGGGGGAATTATCAAAAGAGAGGAGGTAAAATTAGTTTATGTTTTTCCAGCTATGGTATTAAAACCAAAGCTAAGCCAACTA